CCTACACCACACCCCAAGCCTTGCAGATGTTCTCTCTTCTTGATGTTAACTTACGTATATATCCCTTGGGCCTTCGGGCCCCCTGGTCCCTTACACCAGTGGTTCATAGATTCATAGATGTTAGGGTCGGAAGGGACCTCAATAGATCATCAAGTCTGACCCCCTGCATAGGCAGGAAAGCGGGCTGGGTCTAGATGACCCCAGCTAAAAGGTACCAAAGGTTCTCAACCTTTGGTACCTTACGTACCCACCTGCCAATCAACGTGGCAAAAGCGAAACCGGAAGTCCCACCGTGGCACTTCTGGTTTCACCGCCACAAACTTTTTCCTTGTGGAACATGGCCTGGGGCAAAGCAGCCTGTGAGGGGCCCCTCTCCCTGTGCCCTGGCACACTGACGCTGGGGAGTGAAAGCCCCAGTACACCAGTTGCAGTGGGAGGGTCGGTGGTTGGAACTTCCAGCCTGAGCAGGCAAAGACGCCTCCAACCCGCCAGGCAGGGGGGCAGGCCAAACTCAAAACAGGGCACCTGCATACCCCCTGCCCATGTCTTGCATACCCTCAGGGGTATACGTACCATGGGTTGAGAAACACTGCCTTACACCATCTCCCTCAAAACAGCGTGGACCCTCTAGTCCTGCTTAGGCCAGTCTGGGCTCGTGGACCTTCTGGCCTAGCTCAGCCCTTCCCTGGGCGTAAACTCTCTGGCCCAGGTCTCAGCCTTTTCCTAGATTCCTGGATCCCTACTGGGCCCCAGTCTCAGTCTGAGGGCTCCTGAGTTATTGGTTCTCTAAGTAGGCCTTGAGCCTGTCACCACAGGGCTCAAGGCTAAAGTACCAGTACAGCTTAAAAAAACAAGAAGCATCACCACCCTCTGGCAGACACCTCAAACCCTCTAGGGGCTTTAACATAAGACAAAGGCCACTTGGCTGTGAACTCAGTCTTTCCCTGTCCAGGGAACTTGTTCCCAGGCCTCCAGAGTTGTTTAGCTAAATTCAGGTCCCCTCAGGAGCTATGCTGCCAGGAGCCTCCTCACTTTGTGGCTGCCAGGCTCTGGGCTTATATAGCTCTAGCCTGAGCCCTCTTTCAGTCAGATGAGTCTCTCATTAGCTCCCCTCTACCACCTGCAAGCAGCCTCCCAGGCTGCTTGCGCCCTTAAAGAAGTAGGCATGTCCCAGTGTCTTGCTACAATTACCTTCAGAGTTATGAGGAACAACAGTGGTTTTATTAATTACATTAATGGCACCAGTGAAGAATGTACAATCTTGACTGTGTTCCATAAATTATCACTGTATGTTTTGGGTGTTTAATTTCTTCCTGTATATGCTGCAGTAAAGATTCCAAATGAAATTTACTTAGATTCTAAATCAGGGGTGGGCAAAATACAGCCCGACAACCAGATCCAGCCCAGCAGGCCATTCTATCCAGCCTGCGGGACCCCTAAACATTTTAGAAAATTAATTTTTATCTGCCCCTGGCTGCCTGTGAAAGATGACGGGAGCCAGCAGCAGCAAGACCCAGCAGCTGGGCAGCAAGACCCGCCCAGTTCTGCCCCACCCCTAGCCTTTTACCCCCTCTCTCATCCTCAGCCCCCAACTGGAAGTCTCTCTAGCTTTTGGCCTGGTGACCCTTTGGCTGTTCCCCATCCTCTTTCTGTCTTAGTGCAAAGTCAGATAAGATCAGACAAGGGAGAGGGGGAAACCACTGCAATACACCCAGCATCCAGGAACCGCATGGTGCTTGCTGGACTGGGCTGGAGCCACAGCAGGAAGCAGCAGGTGGGGGGGTGGAGGGAAGCAGTGGTGGTGCGAGGGCTGCAGAAAACGGCAGCGGCATTGGGAGCAGCAGGGGGAGTAGCGGGGGGGTGGGCTGTGGAAAGTAGTGGCAGCATGGGGAGCGGCAGGGAACTGCGGAAAGCAGCAGTGGTGTGGGGAGTGATGGGAGGTTGTGGGTAGCAGCAGCAGCGGTGGGAGTTGCAGCGGGCATGCGGAGTATCAGCAGTGGTAGCTGGGAAGCAGCGGCAGCAGTGATGGGCAGGCACACATGTGGAAGGGGAAGCAGAGAAACAGGGGAATCGTGGTGGTGGGTGGGAGCGCAGAGCCCATGCTGGTGTCCTGGGGCCAGTGGGGACCCCGGGTGAGTGGGCAGGAATGTGGAGCCTGGGTGCAGGGTCTGTCTGGCTGCACTGTTTGAGACTTGGATGCAGTTCATGAGAGCTGCATGCGATGGAGCTAGCAGCCCAGCCCCGTGTCTCTCTCTCCCACCCCACCCACCATAACCCCACACCCTCCCACAGCCCCTGCCCCAACCACATACCCCACACATCCACATCCATACCCACACCCCATAACACACACCCACTCCCCAACCACACACCCCCATATACACCCCCTTATCGCCCACACGCAATATACAGCAGGACTGTATTTTGAGCTATTATGCCATCACGTCTTGATACACTTCGCAAACATATAAATCAGTACAAAATATTTTTAAATAAAATTGAAATAAGTTATAGTAGATGTTTTATTTTTTGTATATGATTTGGGTTTTTTTCCAGTTTCAAGATTGCAACATTCTCTCTCCTAAAAGGAGTATTTCCAGGACAAGGGGAGGGATTTCTGGTGGGAAAGGCCATGGGTTAGGGGGCAGGACTTCTGGCCCCAATATGGCGACTGGGGGTGGGGCAACCCATGCGGCCCTCAACAGCTCACCAAAATTTGGTAAGTGGTCCTCCAGTCAATAAAATTGCCCACCCCTGTTCTAAATGTATTCCAAACTAGCTGAAATGTCAAAATGTTTTTAATAACAGGACCTTATTTACAAATATATATATTAGAATGGTAAAGTGTATATTAACCTGTATTTTAGTAAGGATATTTACTATATATTACTTTAGATTAGTTTGACATCAAAATAATAACATATAAGAGCTTTTATTTAAACAGAATTCTAGGATACTTAGCAAGCACTTTTGGAACTTGGGACAGGAGCCTGTTGTTGAAACCCATTTGAGAAATACCAGATACTTTGCTGATGAATTTACAGACTTGGGGTATAGTATTTCATTTAAATATATATTTTAAATAGAATTCCATTAAAATTATTTCATGCTTAAGATTGAAAGGAAACCCTGCTGATGGGCATAGTGTAAATATCTAGATATAGCTACATGTAGATGTATGGAATCTGGTATACATTCATTTAATGGCACAATGGGATCTGTCATAGATTCATGGAATCATAGAAATGTAGGGTTAAAAGGGACTTCAGGAGGTCACATAGTCCAACCCCTTGCTTGACGCAGGACCATCCCCAACCAGATCATCCCAGCAAAGGCTTTGTCTATCTGGGTCTTAAAAACCTTCCAAGGATAGAGATGCCTCAACCTCTCTGGGAAACCAGTTCCAGTGCTTCACTAGTTCCCTTGCTGCAACTTGAGACTATTGCTCCTTGTTCTGTCATCTGCCACCACTGAGAACAGTCTAGCTCCATCCTCTTTATAACCATCCTTCAGGTAGTTGAAGGCTGCTATTATATCGCATCTCAGTCCTTTCTTCTCCAGACTAAATAAGTCCGGTTCCCTCAGCCTCTCTTCAGAAGTCATGTTCCTAGTCCCCTAACCATTTTTGTTGCCATCCACTGGACTGTTTCCAGTTTGTCCACATCCTTTCTGTAGTGGTGGGGTCCAAAACTGGACACAGGACACCAGAAGTGGCTTCAATAGAGCCAAACAGAGAGGAAGAATCACTTCTCTCCATCTGCTAACCTCTTTAACAGTTTCTTTGCCTCCATTTTTCTGAGCAGGGACCAGATCACCCCTCCCCGTCCCGTCCCCCCCACTGGGACCCCCATAGGTCCCAGGGGAGGTGCACCCAGGCCTAGGGGAAGTGAGGACCTAGTCAGGGAACTTCTGGAGGGACTGGATGTATTTAAATCAGCAGGTCCTGACTATCTCCACCCCAGAGTGCTGAGGAAATTAGCAGAGGTCATTGCGGGACCCCTGGCACAGCTTTACAAGCACTCATGGTGCTCTAGCATGGTGCCAGAGGACTGGAAAAGAGCAAATGTTGTTCCCATTTTCAAAAAAGGGAGGAAGGAGGACCCAGGAAACTATAGGCCAGTCAGTCTTACCTCAGTCCTGAGTAAGCTTTTTGAGAGAATTATCTTGGCGCGTGTCCACAGGCCAGCGAGGGAGGTTATGCTTAGGGGCAACCAACATGGGTTCATTAGAGGCAGGTCCTGTCAGACCAACCTGGTGGCCTTCTATGACCAGGTCACAAAATCCTTGGACATAGGTGTCGTGGTGGACGTAGTCTTTCTGGACTTTAGGAAGGCCTTTGACACTGTCTCTCACCCCATTCTCATTAAAAAGCTAGGGGACTATGGCATTGACACCTACACAGTAAAATGGGTCAATAACTGGCTGGAGGGCCGCACCCAGAGAGTGGTGGTAGACGGGTCATCTTCCACCTGGAGGGATGTGGGCAGTGGGGTTCCTCAGGGCTCGGTGCTTGGACCTGCACTGTTCAACAACTTCATCAGCGACTTGGATGAGGGTGTAAAAAGCACCCTGTTCAAATTCGCAGACAACACTAAGATGTAGGGAGAAGTGGGCACACTAGAAGGGAGGAATAGGCTGCAATCAGACCTAGGCATGTTATAGGGGTGGGCGGATGAGAACAGGATGGGTTTCAACACTGACAAGTGCAAGGTACTGCACCTGGGGAGGAAGAATCAGCAGCATACCTACAGGCTGGGGAACTCCCTTCTTGTCAATGCAGAAGCAGAAAAGGATCTTGGAGTCATTATTGATGCCAAAATGAACATGGGCCGACAGTGTGAGGAAGTGGACAGGAAGGCCAACTGTACCTTGTCATGCATCCACAGATGCATCTCAAGCAGGTCCAAGGAGGTGATCCTCCCCCTCTATGCGACACTGGTCAGGCCGCAGTTGGAGTACTGCGCCCAGTTCTGGGCGCTGCACTTCAGGAGGGATGTGGACAGCATGGAGAGGGTCCAGAGGAGGGCCACCCGCATGATCAGGAGTCAGCAGGGCAGGCCCTACAAGGAGAGGTTAAGGGACCTGAACCTATTCAGCCTCCACAAGAGAAGGCTGAGGGGGGATCTAGTGGCCTTTTACAAGCTGGTCAGGGGGGACCAGCAGGCATTGGGGGAGTCCCTGTTCCCCCAAGCATTACCAGGAGTGACAAGAAATAACGGTCACAAGTGGGCAGAGGGTAGATTTAGGCTAGACATCAGGAGGCGCTACACCCCAGTCCTCTTCCCTGCCATGGCAGGGGGTCGGACTTGATGATCTGCTCAGGTACTTTCCGACCCTACCAACTATGAAACTATGGTGGCAATGCGCCTACTAATGCAATTCAATGTGCCATTACCCTTTTTTGCAACAAGGACACAACATAAATGTTGTCTCATATTCAGCTTATTGTCCACTGTAAGCCCCAGGTCCTTTTCTGCAGAGCTACTGCTTAGCCAGTTGAACCCCAGCCTGTACTGATGCATGGGATTATTCTATACTAAGTACAGGACTTTGCACTTGGCCCTATTGAACCTCATGAGATTTCTTTTGGTCCAATCCTCTAATTTGTCTAGGTCTCTCTGAATCCTAAACCTACCCTCCAGAACAGGGTTTCCCAACCTTTTTATGCTGAGGACTGACAAAGTGCAGACCGGAAGTGATCATGGACCAGAAGTGACCATGGACTGGCAAACTGTGGACCAGCAGTAACCGGCATACTGTGGGCAGGCAGCCAACCCTTTTTTATACTCAATATAAAAAAGGATTGACTGCCGGTTCGCAGTATGCAGGTCACTTCCAGTCTGCAGTTTGCCGGACCACAGTTTGCTGATCCACAGCCACTTCTGGTCCACAGCAGCCAACCCTCCTGCAGACTGGCAGCTAACCCCTGCTCCAGAATATCTACTACCTCCCTCAGCTTTGTGTCATCTGCAAACTTGCTGAGGGTGCACTCCATCCTATCTATCAGATCGTTGATGAAGATATTGAACAAGACAGGTCCTAGGACTGACCCCCGGGGCATTCCACTTGATACTGGCTATCATTGATCCATTGAGCCATTGATCACTGATGGCTAGAAAATGACACTTAAAGGTTTGCTTTTGGGAATTGGCTTGTAGGTAAAATGTATATGCATTAAAACAATAGTTCAGACAGCAACAAGGGTTACTTGATTTCTGAAGGCCTGTTTCTCACACAGTTTTATAGCCTTTAAGGCAGGTGGGGTGTCTAACACAACAAGGCCAACAGATATATACATAGGCTGGTAGAGTGTACCACACTGCTCCATAACATGGAATGTACCACACTGTTCCATAACATGAGATAAGGTGACACCAGCTCACAAGGCCCAAGAGTGGGGGGCCTGAGAGTTCCAGTTTTGGGAGAACAGACCAAATTAGGAACAGGCCTGGAATGATCAAATTAAGATGTGTGCATGTGATGGGCTTGTAAAACAAAGAAATATACTGTCACGACAGAATGTGGACAGTACGATGACCACAGAGATACCAATCAGCCACAGATGAAGAGTCATCAGGAGGGAAAAGGAATACAGAAGCAGAGATTTTAGAGCAACAAAGGGTCCCTGTCCCTGAGAGGGGTCCCCAAGAGGACCCCCAAGAGGGGAACCTGAGGTACATGGACAGAGGGTATACCACCAGCCCCACTCATCCACCCCAAGGGAGGAGGCCGAGGCCTCCGACTTCCAGGGTGCTGACATCAGACATTCAAGAGAGAACCTCAAAGTGAAGCTTGCATCCCGGCCAGGTGTGTCTTGACTTTTATGACAGCCCTAGGATTGGTAGCTATAGAATTGTTTGCATTGTTTTTTTCTGTTATCACTGTGTATCAATAAAATTTGCCTATTATAAAATGGAAAGGTCATGGTCACTCTGAGGGTTTTGGGTCCCCCCAGAACAAGATATCTGGGTCCTAAATCCAGTGCCAGCAATTATTACCCTTTGAGCCCAACAATCCAACTAGTTTTCTATTCGCCTTACTGTCGATTCATCCAACCCAGACTTCCTTAGCTTGCTTGCAAGAATGTTGTAAGATACTACATCAAAAGCCTTGCTGAAGTCAAGGTATATCATGTTCACTGTTCTCCCCACATCCACAAAGCCAGTCATCTCATCACAGAAGGCAGTCAGGTTGGTCAGGTATGATTTGCCCTTGCTGAATCTGTGCTGGCTATTCCTAACCACCTGCTTCTCCTTCAAGTGCTTACAAATGGGTTCTTTGAGGACCTGCTTCATGATTTTCCCAGGGATTGAGGTAAGGCTGACAGGTGGTTAGCTCCCTGGATCCATCTTCTTCCCTTTCTAAAAGATGGGCACTATATTTGCCCTTTTCCATTCATCTGTGACCTCTCCTGATCTCCAATTTCCAAACATGATGACCAGCAGCTCTTCAGTCACATTGGCCAACTCCCTCAGCACCCTCAGGTGCCTTGCATCTGGCCCCATGGACTTGTGCACATCCAGCTTTTCTAAATAATAAGTGAGGTGCCATAGGACTGGAAAAGGGCCAATGTGGTACCTTTTTTCAAAAAAGGGAGGAAGGGGGACCCAGGAAATTATAGGCCTGTTAGTCTTACCTCAGTCCTGGGGAAGCTCTTTGGGAAAATTATCCAGGAGCACATCTGCAAGGGGCAAGCAGGGGAGTGTATGCTTAGGGGCAACCAACATGGGTTCATTAGAGGCAGGGCCTGTCAGACCAGCCTGGTGGCCTTCTATGACCAGGTCACAAAATCCTTGGATGCAGGTGTCACGGTGAACATAGTCTTTCTGGACTTTACGAAGGCCTTCGACACTGTCTCTCACCCCATTCTCATTAAAAAA